TGTGTCATGTGCATGAAAGTGTACCCAGGGTGAGAGGGTTAACAGTGTAGTGAATTTTAAATACTTCTTTCAGTGTCTAAACAGCAGGGGTGCAAATAATTATCCTTTGCTTATTTATTAATATTTCACATTCGATAACAAACTGCTCATTTTCAATTAAAATGTTTTTAGGAATCAGATAAGTTAATTAGAAGAAGATATAAATTGATTCTTACATCTTTTTCAAAATGTAAAATACCATCAGCACTACAAGATGTAAATATGGAAGATTTTCTCAGGCCTTAAAAAGTTTTTCTTGGAATGTAATTATTTTTAGGAATTAAATGTAATATGTGATTAAACCTTTAACAACTTAATACATTTGGCATCTCTACAACACTATCATCCAATAACTCTTTAACATAATTTTTGTTTTCTGAAGTAAAGTCTATTTTCGATATTTCATATTAACTACTTTATCTGCCAATAACTGGTTAATGGCCTTATATTCAAATTGGGCAGACTTACCTGTCAAATACTGAAAGTCTTTTTTCCCTTTCAGAATGTTCTTTATTTGTTTTCATACCATACCTCACTTGCCTATAATAATCCACTACTATAAATAGATCTCATGTAAGCTTTGCTTTCCCTCCATAATTTAGATTTTTTTTTTGTTGAAAGTTGTGCTCTTATGACATTCTTTTTGGTAACTCTGTTATTATCAGACTTTCTCTGTCTTCATCTTAGGTCTCGTGCAATTTGCCTATAGTGTGCAGGTGATATCGTTGATTCATTCGTATCATTTGTAGTTTCGTTTATTCCTGCCATTGTATGCTGATATTACTCAGGAGCATAGTATTTGAGTGGATGCTTAATTTGTTTATCACTTGTAAATTTTCTCTGTTTCATCAAAGTACTTTTTGCTCAAGCCTCATCACCTTCAGTGTCTGTGGAGTTTTGTCTGATACAGTGCTAGTCCTAATCCTCAACATTTCTGCTGGTGTTATTTCTTTTGCTCTGAGGTATGTTCTATATTTTCAGTATTGAATCTATTTTAGTTTTGTTTGAGGATGCTTGTGTACTTGCTTTCTTATTTCTCCAACCTTCTCGTGATTTGAGGGTTGGAGATCATTTTTTAAAATGTCCCTATATTCATACATTTCATGTTCCTTTTTTTCACATTACTGTAACCCATTATCAGTTATCTGCCCTGCAAGCTGTGATTTGGCCTGTGTTTGAGATATTATTTTTCTGCACCCTTATTGGTATTATTCTTCTTATTTTTGCTCAAGATCATAATATACTTATTATATACTGATGTCACTGCTGTTGTTTCTGTTACCATGTGGCTCGTACATTCTTTAGACACTTTCACCAGGTGGGTGGTGTTGCAAGATACTTGTATTTTAGTTAAGCAGTATTCATATATATGTGTATCTTTCACATAAAAACAAAGTGTTCCTTTTTTTTTTCTCTTTGCAGATCTTTTACTCCATCTTGTTTCTATTCAGGGGATGCTTACCACCAGGAGTTGATTACGGTTTTCAGCATCTGATCTTGCTTTTGTCACTGTATATGTGGTGGTTTTTTTCCAATGTTTATTACATATACTCATACTTTGAGTGTAGTGTCCCCCTGTGGGTCAGTGGTATGTTTATGGACTTCTAACACTGAAAGCTAGGGTTTGGTTACCCAAGGATGGAGCACAGATGGCCTCTGATGTAGCTTTGCACTCAAACACATAAACAAATTTTTAAGTAGCTTAGCATCAATGTAAGTGAGATAGGTCTAGATGAGTCTTTATCATTCACTCACTGACTTTGTTTTGGATGACTCCACTGTATGGAATTTGGGGGATCATCTTAGCATCTTGTTTATCTTCATAAGCCTTGGATGCATCAGATTCTTCACTTTGATTTTCTATTCTGTATCCATGATTCACATCTTCAAATTTTAATTTTATTTTGGATCTGGGGGTTTCAAACCTTTTCCATGCCAAAAGGATGTTAACGTTGTTTTTCATTTTACTTCAGAATCTCTTTTTGGTACCACAAACAACAGAAGGTTAGAGACTGGTTGAATGTTTTTCCATTCTCATTTGTTATATAGATATTGCTCATTTCCAAGTTGAAGCTATGCACATCTCATGACAGTTCCTTTCTCAAGGTTTTTAGGTGACAAATGGAGTTTCATATTACTTTTACTTTCACATACTTATTCAACAGTCTTCATTTTTCACATGATAGTGTGATTTTTCCTTTTATATCCCTTTTGGTGTGGATTAAGAGTTCTATACACATGTAGCAACAACTTTAGTTGGTCTCGTACATCCACTCTATATCACTTGCCCTCTATACGTGGATGATAAGAAGATTCATGTTCAGTGGATTCTTTGCACTGAATTGTACTCTCATTTTACATCTTCTTTGATTTGGACTGTTCATGAGTCCTCATCTCAGCTTATGACTACTCAATATCTTGTTCATCTGAGATTTTGTATCATCACTCTCTCTTGATCTCTTCATTATTCTCCTTGGGCTTTTCAATCTCACAAGCTTTGAATGTGCTTATTTCTTAACCTGCTAAGCAGATCCTCTCTGATTTAGGAATGATGACTTCTCCTTAACCCTCCAAGCAATGGTCAATCATTTTACACAAGCTTGAAAATCATATTAGAACTCTTAATTTAGTGAGTGTATTTTCATGAAATTTGGAAAGGTTTCAGTCAACAATACATGTCTGTTATACATAAAAAATC